TTCTATCTAGGTTGGTTGGTTGGTTTAGGGTTTAGGGTTTAGGCTTTGGGGTTGTAGGAATCCTCTAAAATTCTATTTAGGTTGGTTGGTTGGTTTAGGGTTTAGGGTTTAGGCTTTGGGGTTGTAGGAATCCTCTAAAGTTCTATTTAGGTTGGTTGGTTCGTTATATTCTCCTTCATTTACAATCCCAGGAATTCCCAAGCACCTATACCGGGGCAGATGCTTGCCCAATAGTCATTCCCACTGTAGAACCCTACTGTCTACTATATTGGTACTTAATGTAAACCTCAAACGCTAAACCCCTAAACCTAAACCCTAAACCCCTAAACCTAAACCCTAAACGCCCTAAACCCCTAAACACCTAAACCCCTAGAGCCCTAAACCCTTAGGAGCCTTTAAAAATGCGGTTCTGGTCCTACTCCGGGGTTGCTGGAGCTCTGATTTCATAGAACTCGAGCGCCGAGACACTCCAGCACCCCTTAGTTAAGGAACAGACCTTCAACTTAGTCAGGTTTAGGGTTTATAGGGTGTAGGCCTTGACCTAAATCGCCTGAAGTCATAGTAGGTAATGAGTAGGGTTCCTATTGCAGATTACAGTATAAGGTATAAATTCCTTCATTAAGGAGCAGACCCTAAACCATAGGTACTGTAAGGTGTATTCCTTAATTAAGGAACAGACCTGCAATCATAGTAGGATTCCTATTGCAGTATAAGGTGTATTCCTTAATTAAGAACCATAGTAGGGTTCCTATTGCAGTGTAAAGTGCATTCCTTAATTACGGAACAGACCTTTAACCATAGTAGGGTTCCTACTGCAGTATAGGGTGTATTCCTTACTCAGGAACAGACCTTGAACCAAAGTAGGGCCCTATTACAGTATAATGTGTATTCCTCAATTCAGGAAGAGACTTTAAATCATAGCAGGATTCTTATTGCAGTATCAGGTGTATTCCTTAAATAAGGAACAGACCTTAAACCATAGATACTGTAATGTGTATTTCTTAATTAAGGAACAGACCTTCAATCATAGTAGGAATCCTATTGCAGTATAAGGTGTGTTGCTTAGTTAAGGAACAGACCTGAAACCATAGATACTGCAAGGTGTATTCCTTAATTAAGGAACAGACCTTCAATCATAGTAAGAATCCTTTTGCAGTATAAGGTGCATTGCTCAGTTAAAGAACAGACCCTGAAAGTCAGTAGGGTTCCGATTACAGTATAAGGTATCTTCATATTCCTTAATTAAGGGACAGACCTTGAATCTCAGTAAGGTTCCTATTACAGTATAAGGTGTATTCCTTAATCAAGGAACAGACCTTACAAACATATTAGGGGTCCTATTGCAATCTAAGATATGTTTTTGTGAAGGGGCTTTGGAGTCGCTGGGTGGGGAGATCCCCAAACCGAAGCCTAAAACCCCTTAACCATAAACCCTAAACCCTAGACCCTACACCCTAAACCCCCGCCGGGCAGGAAGGGCATGGACGATGCGACTTGCATGCTGCTAGGCAAAGCGCTTCCTCCAGCCCTGGAGGTGGCTTTAGTGTGAAAAACTAAGGGCCCGTTTAGGGTTTAGGGTTGAGGAGTTTAGGGGTTTAGGGTTTAGGGTATGGTATATACTTGGGCCCTACCCTAAGTCCCAAGGGTCCAACAAAGTGGGTGCTCGGGTTTCCTTGGCATAGTAGTTATGCAGGTTACTATTTTTGGAGAGTAGATGGTAACTATGTACTTGGACTCTTAGGGTTAAGGTATTCCGTATGTAGGTACTCTAGGGCCAAAGTATATACCCGAAACTCTAAACCCTAAACCATACTATATCGTCACATGGACCCCTAGGGACACGTACTTGACAGGATTGTCCGGTACAGGTCTCAGGGTGTAAGGCTTTAGGGGCTCATGGGATGAGGTGTTTCGGTGCTGTAGGAGTTTAGGAGCCGCACATACGGTTTAGGGTTTAGGGTTTAGGGTTTTGGGTAGGAGGACATTGGGTTTAAGCTTGCGGTTTTGAGCTCATCCAGATTCGGAGGAGCTCGTTTTGGGCTTTGTGAACACTGGCTTGGGCAACGAGGGGGCGAAGAACCTCGCGCTGGCGCTGAGTTCTTGCAGCAATCTTCGCACTGTGAGGTTCGATTGGATACTGCCCCTACTCAATAACAGTTCAATAAGACAAGTGTTTATAATGTAGATGTCCCAGGCCCTTCATAGCTGCTTATTGCGGAATGTTGCTGTAAGGGCGCAGTAACCCATAGGTTGGATCTCCAGAACACAGCTCTCGGAGATGCGGGCGTCGAGGAACTCTCCAAGTGCTTGGGCTCGTTACCTGCGCTCCGCGATTTGAGATTGGGCCTCTCCGAAACGCTGCTGGCTGATGAAGGCATCACTGGTATTGCAGAGATGTTGAAATCGTCTGTGGCTTTTCGTCAGTTGGTCAACTCCACCACCGCATCCTCATCTTTCCAGGATTGGGAAATTTCGGCGAACAGGCGTTTGGAGTTCGATTTCGGAAAGACCCTATTTGGTGACAATGGCATGGCCTTGCTTTCCGCTGCGCTCGAGCCCCTTTCGCCATTGCTGGCTTTGAACTTGAACGTCTACGAAACTGGGCTTGGCGATTCTGGCTTGCATCGATTGGCAGAAGCACTTCAAAGCCAACAGCATCTTAAATACCTGAACTTGGTCATGGCCAACACGCGTGTGAGCGACGAGGGCATCATGCACTTCATGACTGCGGTCTCGTCTTGGCTAACTAGCCTTGAGAATTTTATGCTAAACCTCCGAGGCTGTACCAACATCCTTGGTCCCGGCATCGCGAGCTACTGGGAACTGACTTACTATTAACTTAACATAATTTGCAGGTCCCTGTAGCAATCAAGTACTCCATGCGGTCTCCCTTATTGTGTTAGGTTAGATCTTGACCAAGTTCCTTCGACCCCTAAATTTAGAACCCAGGAGACCCCTAAACCCCTTGGCAGAACTACACAACCCTGCCACAGCGTAGCAAAGGCTATGCAGACGCCCTCCGGTCCTTGAGAAGTCTGCGAAGCATGAAGCTGAACCTGCGAAATTGCTCGCAGCTGCAGATGCCTGCTTTCAAGACCTGCGGTTGATGCTACAACTCCTGAATTACCCATAATAGAGGATATAGCATACTTCCCATAGTTTAGGATCCTTAAAGTAATGCAGAACCACCAATCGTAGTACTTGCGCACTTGGAGTCTTGGGGAAAGCCTAATCTCCATAATTACCCAAAGCCCTAAGTTTAAGCCCCAAACTCAAACCCTACTCTTATCATCTTCCCCCCTAAATCCTACAGAACCTCTTTGTCCGTTGAGAACTAAACCCTGAATCCTAATCCCTAGCCCCTAAACTTAAACTTGCATGATCATTGCCGTACCTGTACTTCTTCAAGTATGTGTCCGGCGTTTCTAAAAGATGATGATGAAACTTAAACTTTATGGGATTTATAGGGACCCTACAAAAAAGTAGGTTTTGGGGAAGGTAAATCCTGATCCCTAGCCCTTAAACTTAAACTCGAGGAAAGAGCAGCTGGCGACCTTGGCAGAAGCCCTCGCCACCAACTTGTCCCTCGAAGCCGCAAGCGTGATCCTGCTAGGCACGACCCTCGGCCGAGCTTTTCAGTGCAGACTTCGGATTCCAGGGGTTCCTTCGAATACCTTAAGAACCCAGAACCCCCTTTTTTGTAGGTTCTTTTCATAAACCCTAATATGGGATTTATAGGGACCCTACAAAAAAGTAGGTTTTGGGTGCTTAAGGTAGTTCATAAAGTTCATTTGAACTATACTATAAAGGAGCCCAGGGCCCTATTCTAATGATTAAGGCCCCTACAGTGGGTTTAGGGTTTAGGGTTTAGGGTTTAGGGTTGAGGAGGCCGGATGAACCCTGAGAATCCCAAACTCCTGAAAGACAACCCAAAGGGTCCTACGTACTCTTATCGGGGTATACCATAATAGGAACTCCTGCATAGAAACCCTACAGTCTACTATATAGGCACATGGGACCCATTGGGTATAGTTTCATGTATGAAAGCTGAGGAATGCGGATGATGCCGTGGCCGCTGACTTAATCCGGTCACTTGGATCCCTGCCAGTGCTTCAGGAGCCTCGCTCAAAGAATGCCCAACCAACTTGTTCGGTGATTGAGGCTTCAGAGTTTTAAGGTTAGGTTTCAGAGTTCTAGGGTTTAGGGTTCAGAGTTTTAGGGCTTGGGGTTCAGAGTCTGAGGGTTTAGGGTTAGTCGGTTTCATTTTGAGGGCTTCAGGGTTAGGAGATAGACTGCACATTCGATCAGCCTTTACTTTGCCGTTGCGGAGTTTAAGAATGACAAGCCTAAACCCCTTTCGGTTTAGGGATTAGGGTTAAGTTTACGGATTAGGGTTTTGGGATTAGACTTTGCTTCGCCAGCTTGGGGCTTCGAAACAATTCAAAGCTCTCAGCTCTGACTACGATGATTTGTCATAGTTGGATAGCACTTGGTACTTACGCGCAAGAGGGAACAACCACTTAAATAGTTTAGTACTACTGTATTCCAACCATGAACTGAACCCTTGTAAGTGTAAGCCATACACGGTACAGCCTTTTGAGACCCTGACAGGAACCCTTGAGGGAACCCGGAGCCGTGAAAGGAGCCCTCACAGGAGCAATTCAAGGAAGGCTTGACGGAGACCTTAAAAAAAAAAAACCTTAAACCTTACGCCCTCAACCTACTGGTCTGTAGGCTCTGATTCTAAATCATAAGGACCCTACAAAAAAGAGTTTGGTAGTTCAAGTTCAAGGTGCACCCTAAGCTCCACGTGACTGAGGAGGTGAGGCTGGGAACGCCCGGTGTGGACATCCAGTCCATTGCTGAACTTCATCGCCGGATGGGTTTGCTACTGAAGCCGTAATGTCGGAAACTGAGGCCGAAATTTAGGGGCCTTAAACCAAGGAGAATATGGCTTAAAGTAGAGTATATTTTTTTGGGGACCAGACGAGCACAGGCCTTTATGTTGCAGGCTTTAGGCTTCATGTGTAGTCTCCTTTTTCGGCTCATGTTTAGCCTCCTATACTAGAAGCCAGCAAGTTGGAACGTTGTTATCCTCATGTCCTACAGGGAAATTGTAGGGGATCCAAGCACTAATCATCCTAGATCCATGTTTCAACTTTCTGGGATTCACGCTAAGCCCTAAACCCCTAAACCCTAAACCCAGAACCCTGGCATGACATGAACTATTCCGACCCTGAGATTAGATTCGAATCCTGAATAAGCGATACCCGCATATGACAAATTGAATCGCGGCTGTTGGGCTTTGGGGTTTATTGGTCCTTGTGTAGTGGTATAGTTTTACGGGTTTCGGGTTTACCTGGCGCTGCGACTCCGTTCAATTTGTTTTGAATTTTGGCCCTGCCTTCTCCAAAGGAGAGTGTGGTCCGAAAAGACCCGCAAGTTCAACTCGGCGAGAGCAAGAAACCCCTCAAGCCTGAATCCAAGGTCCACACCGGCTGACATTCCAGACCCTCCAAAGTCCTAAACCCTTCAACCCTAAACCCTTGAACCCACCGTTGAGGGCCGGTCCGTCGTGCGGTTTGGATGTATCCGTAAAGCCTGAAGCCTAGATATAGGGGTAGGCGGCTTACGCTTGAGAACTCAACGGTTGGGGTTGGCATGGCTAGGCTTTGGGAGCACTAAACCCTAAACCTTCTAAGCCCTAAGCCCTAAACGCTAAACCCTAAACCGTAGAAACCCTAAAAACCCAAAAAAACCCTAAACCAACAAGAACCCTAAACCCCAAACTTTAACCCCTGGGTTTTAGAGTTTCGGGTTTCTGGCCCAGGAGCCTCGATCGTTAAACTTTTAGGGTATAGGGTTTATGGGTTTAGGGGTGTAGGGGTTTGGGGTTTAGGGTTTTAGGGGTTGAGGGTTTAGGGTTTAGGGGTTTAGGGTTTAGGGCTTTAGGGGTTGAGGGTTTGGGGGTGCCGGGCTTTAGGGGTTTAGGGATTTGGGGTCTAGGGTTTAGGGTTTAAGGTTTAGGGATTTAGGGGTTTAGGGATTTAGGGGGTTAGCGATTTAGGGGTTTGGGGATTTAGGGGTTGAGGGTTTAGGGGTTTAGGGTTTAGGGTTTTAAAGGTTTGTCAGTTGTATTATAACAGATCAACAGCGAGAGCATGAGATTGTCACTTTGGTGGCCTCAGAAAATATCTTGCAATGCAATATGCATAACTATATATAGCTATGTATCTATATATATATATATATATATATATATGTGTGTGTGTGTGTGTGTGCCTCCGATGAAAAATGAACATCAGCAATCCCAGCACGTCTCTAGTGGGTCCTGAGCCTTAAACCCCATACCCGAGAAGGCTCTCGATTCTCCTGGGCCCCTGGAAGCACAGTTGAACCTAGTCCTTCCAGAGACGATAAGTGTTCCGGTTTAGAGTTTGGGGTTTAGGGGTTTAGGGTTTAGCGTTTCGGGTTGTGGGGTGGGGCACGTCGCAAGCTTCTGTAGGGGCACTAGAAACGTTCGATGAGGGTTCTGCGCTTCTTCTTGCAGCGTTTGATTTGAGGGCTGCCACGTAAAGCGCCGGAAATCTTGCTCCAGGGCGGAAACACCCTGAACCCTAAAAACTAAACCCGGAACCCTAAACCGTAAACCTTGAACCCTTGCATCTCGGCCCCAAACTGAAGAAACAAGGTTACGAATATGATTCAAAAACCTTTGCCACCGCAGCTGTGACTCAGCAAATCCTTCGGTAGTTATGCTGCAGCTTTGCAGCCCGAAACCCTGAACCCTAATCTGCAGACCTTGTTATAACCTGAAGCCATTCGCCTGGCTTTGGAGTTAACGATCCTAGCGTGCAGTGGGTTCCTTCTTTAAGTCGGTCCTGCTATCGTCCACGTCCTCGTAGTCGGTCAGTACGTACTCACGTGCTTTACGTGCTACTATCTTTAAAGCCAGTACATAATTGAAATATTGGGTCCTACGGACCTTCGGGTCTTTGGGATATATCTGATATACTTTAGGCCTGTTTGGTATTCGTGAGGCCTAGGCATATATAGGGTTTGAGTATTTGCGCTTTCTGGTGGATCCGGAGCTCTGGGTGAGGGTTTAGAGCCATGATGCTGGAAGCCCTAAGACTATTGGAACAATCCCCAACCCCTAAACCCTAAGCCCTAAGCCCTAAACCCTAAACCCCTCAAGCCCTACACCCTGGACGAACAAAGCCATGGAGCCCAACTCTGAACCCAAACACTGACATTTGCGGAGTGTGTTAGGGGCCCTAAGGTTTAGGGTTTAGGGTTTAGGGTACAATGATTTCTAACCGAATACTTCAATCTTATATTAGGCCCTAATTGCCACCGAAAAGCCGTGTAGTGCCCATTATAGAGCCCTTCCAGGAGCATCGAGCCCTTCGTCTGCCTGTATGATAACCCGAAGCCCTAAACCCTAAACCCTAAATCCTCCCTAAACCGTACAAGCCTTAAACCCTAAACCCTAAGCCCTTAGGGTCGCAAATGTCCCCACTCAAAGACCCAGGGGGGTTTAGTAGTTTAGGGTTTACCTCAACCTGCCAAAACCAACTTTTGATTTCGACTCTTAATGAAATGTTGTTTGGAGTTTACGGGGGATCCTACAAAAAGTAGGTTCTGGTAGGGTCAGGGGCTCAGAAAGAGCGGCCCCCGCGCCCAAAAGCCCTCGAAGCCTAAATCCTGAGCCCGAAAGCCTGAAACGAAACCTTTAGGGTTTAGGGGTTTAGGGCTACAAGAGTTCTGAACCCTAAACCCTAAACCCTAAACCCTAAACCCTAAACCCTAAACCCTAAACCCTAAACTTCTGATGAGGGTTACTTCGGGGTTTCGATCATGGAAAGGTTCTTTTGAGGGTTCCTTCGATGGGTTCTGAGCGCGAGGTCCTTGTCACGGATTGGAACCCGCTGACCGTCTATATCTGGCCGCAGCCTTGTTTAGGGTTTATAGGGTTTAGGGTTTAGGATTTTAGGATTTAAAGTTTAGGGCTTCGGGCTCAGATTCTTTACTTGCCGAGTATCTGAGGAGAACTGAATCTGAAGCAGAATGTTCCCAACACAGACCCAAGTACCTTGCTTAGTATGGTTTGTTTCCAGTTAAGGCAGTATGTAGTATGGAATCAATCCAGCTAGACACAAATTAAGACTTTACTTAGCATGGTATATATAAATATATAAACTACAAAGCAAAAGAGTATATAAATATATGGTCCCCCCCCAAAAAAAAAACACCCCGGAATATCAAACAAGTCGGCGTGAGGCCAACAGTTGCCCATGTAAGGCCCCGTAAACGGCCCGTGTTAGTGCACAGGGCCGAGGAACAACTTTGCGCACGTGGTTCCGGGGCCCGAGCCCGTG